GGTTGAGGTAGATGGAAATGAGAAACAAAAATTAAATAACAAAAACAGATTTCTTACTTCTACTCTCCCGACAATTTGGGTGCGATATGGATACAATATTTCTGCGATCATGTTACAGTTCTCTTTATGGGAAGGGAGACGACCTCGTTCACATGGTTTCACTTTTCATATTATGAGAATAGTATGTTGCAAAAGCATAGATACAGTTTCCACCCTCCTGCGTTGGCTATAAAGAGTAGAGACTCTGTGACAATGGGCTGTGAAATGACACGCTGTAATGGCCGGCGGAGTGAGATAACAAACTATTGTCCTTCTGGAACAACAGAAAGGCTGCGTTTCACCCTTCATACACTGGTTACCATCTTTAGTAAACTGCTTCTAATGTGTAGTGTCTGGACATGTGAAAGTGGGCGAAAAACGTCATATAGTTAGTGAAAATCACAACGTGTTAAATTATCAGTTTTTCAATCTTCTATCACTATTCAAAATGCCCTGGCCACAGGATGAAGTGTCTTTAAGGACTCTGTAGGAGACAGTTCGTCCGTACCTGTCCTGGCGTCGATGGGGTACGAGGGCTGGCTCCTCCCCCCAGAGTTGACGGACATGACGCTCAGCTTGTAGTCCGTGTAGGGCTGGAGCTGCACCACGGTGCCTGGGGAGCTGCTCACCATGGCCTCAGAGAAGAAATCGCCCGTCTCCGACTCTGCCCTAAGGATGTAGCTGGTTGCCCCTGAAACCTCCGTGAACTCCACGGTGATGCTGTCGCTGTGTTTTGAGTAGGCCTGTTCAATGCTGGGGATTTCAGGAGCTGGAGAACAAATGATAGAAGTAGTGTTTAGGTTAAAGGAAGTTCATTTATCATAACAATACTGCATAAGATGTATTATAAATGCAGTGGTGGAATGTAACTAAGAACATTCACTTTATTACTATAATTACATAACATTTAGAAGTATTTGTACTTTTCTTGAGGTCCTGCCCCTACTTCATAATTCTACTCCACTACATTTAAGAAAGATGGTGTACATTTTACTGCACCAAATTGATTTGAAAGCTGTGGCCACCATTTTAGATTTTATATGCAAAACATGAGAAGACTTTATAAATTAGGGCTGCAACCAAAACGTTTAATTGCTAATTAGCCTTCTATGAGTAGGGACAAATGTCAAATCCAGCTTCCCAAAGCTGACAGTCCAAAATTCAAAGATATTCAGTTAAAATGATAGTAGTATAAATAGTAGTAAAGTAGTAATAGTAGTAGTAGTATAAATAGTTTTCTCACAATCAACTACTCGTGAGAAAACTATTGATAAACTGAAACAATGATGCATTGCTTTAGATAAACAGTATATAAAGAGGAGATGGAGATGCTGCTTCCATGTTGATGCATCACTAATAATAATCCAATTACTTTGTAGTATTGTTTTAGTCAAGCAAAGAATCTAAGGACTTCTTCGTCAACTGTAGAAACGTACGATTCATGAAGTCTGTCTTTATGGACAGTAACGTATCTGAATCACCAGCAGGACTCATTCTCCTCTCCTTGCTCTTGTGACTGACCTGTTGTCTCCTCTGTCTCTGCACTGCTGAGGACATTGAGAGCATTGTCCATGGCTTCTAGCTGCATGGTGTACACCGTGTTCGGGGACAAGGAGATGATTGAGCCCATCACGGAGTTGCCACTGAACTGAGCGAAGACGGATCCTCCTGGGGAGTTCTTGGGTGTTGCTGTGATCCTGTAGGAGCTGGCGCCAGTGTAGCTGCTCCACTGCACCGTTATACTCTTAGATGTAGCCGCAAACACCGACAGAGTGATGCCTGGGGGAGTGTTGGGATACGTTCAAACAGGTGTTCAGGTGGCGTTTTCATATTGTGGGTAGAAAACCTGCCAGTTGCTGATGAAATATGCATATTTGGGTTGTTTCAGAAAATGTGCCGAAGTTGATTTTTATTTATAGAACCTGAATCTTGTTTCGGGGAACTTTTCAAGGCAATTTGCATTTAAAATAATGGATAATGTTTATTATTCGAGTTTAGGATCATCATAAAGTAAGGCAAATGTAAAAGAAGACCATTTACCATTTTGAGCAGCACAGATCTGAAAAGGAAAAAAAATAAACATGGCAGGTTCATGAATGAAACAAGGAAATGATAATGATATACGACAGGACACACAGTATTTACAAGACAAGGACATCATTCCAAGGGTAGCAGGCTAGTAGTATTTCACATTATATCCTGAGGCTAATTATGCCTCTGGATTTAATGCCTGTATCATATTCTCGGCGCATGAGAGGCAGCTGGCTGCACATTACCTTCACTCAACACAGATTTCAGAGCTGGTCAGCGCAGGTATTTCTTTCAGGTCGGAATGAATTTGTCTATTGAGCTAAGGTTGGGCATGCCACACGCACTTGTTGAAAGCACCGACACTCAAAAGAGCCTGTGTTCATATGTTTCAAACGTCCACTATTATTTATCTGGATGCATAAAGTAAACACTGTATCAAAGATAGGAGAAACATGCCAACTACCTACACTGAGGACGTTAAAATTGTTATTTGTTAAATTATTTTAGAAAAGCAGTGTACAATATGAGAAAATGATCTCTTACCTCTGTGAAGGTGAGTAAAAGCAAAAGTTTCAGCATTTTAAGCTCTGTTGCTCCCATGCCCTCAGCGTTTTATTTATTTTTTGCGCTGAGCCACTGCCTTGAGGCGAGATGTGTGATGCTGTTTCTCAAAATGACTTCAGGGAAGCAGCTCAGGCTTAAATTTGACTTTTTTTTTGTTCCCTCTCCCTCCCTCTCTCAGATGAAACGACAGGTCCTTTATTGTTTCTGCAAATACCAAAGAGCCCAAAGGCTGTAACTCCTCCCCCCACTGGGGTGTTTGGGTGTGCTATCGGAGTGAGAGGAGAACGTTCATCTTTTCAAGATGAGGATGTAGATTAAAAATAATCAACTGTGTTGCAAACTTTTTGTCTTTACGACCATGTCACAAATGCGGCAAATTGATTGCTTTCTTGTCATCTTGACGTATTTTGCGCCCACAGAAGAACCCTCCCCTAACATCCCAGTTGAGAAACTTCACTACACCTTGTTTGATAAAAGATCATTTGATACCGAGTGATGACCTATTTCTGTGTCTGAAAGGAAATTATATGGCCTGATTCACTTTTACTCAAAACAAAATTTGATCTCTACTGGTTTCCACCTCATTGGTATCTTGTGACAGAAGAGAAGTTCTGAGAAGTTAATCATTGTGTTCTCCATTTGTTGACACAAATCTATCAACAACACTTTGTGTACGATGAATATAGATATGACGTATTGGTTGGGTGTTAATAAAGTGTAGCATTTGCAAGTGAAGACAGCTGCTTAGGTGTCCTAGATAGAATGTACAGTGTACTTATTTGTATTCTCTAATATAAATACATCATCTGTTTCTGAGTCAACTGAGGTCATTTGTCAGCTCAGCACTGACGAACAAAACAAACTAATAGAGAGAAGCTGGCTTATGTAACCACACGCATACATTCGGTAACTTCATACTATGCTGTACTTTACTGTACTCTATGCTGTACAGTTCTGTGTGCATATAGTCTGCGTTAAGGTGACAAAAGGCGAGGCGAGGTTGTTGTAATAGCTGTTCTTTTCAACAGTGGCCTAGTATCAGCGTCAGGTGTGCATTATGAAGATGTGCTGGGACGATCCCAGAGGACCAGATTAACTCTTTTGTGCATGAAGGCCAATAGGAGAACAAAAAGTAACAGTGTCAGATTTCCCAGTGTAATTGTGTTGTACAGAGTACAGAGTCAGTATGAGGTAAATGTAACAAATAATTGTTGACTATTTGAATCACTGACCATTCAGAAACCTTCAGACACAACTAACTGAGTGATATTTAGCGGCAAGTACAAAATCCAAAATCCCCATTTTTTTTAACCCCCACTGTACCACTGTGCCGCCCCTAATCATCACAAAGAGGTGAAATGCCAACAGTTTTCCATGTGTCTTTTTTCCTGCACCTTTTCAGGACTCGACAGTAAGTAAGGGTTTTGAGAACTTGGCAACCAATTCTTGGCCGTTGCCATCAGTTGCCTCACTGCGACTAGTCCGCTCTGTTGACTGCCTACAGGTTAGTGAACACAGACAGCTGTATGAAGAGATGTTGTTTAGACACATCTTCTTCCCTGATACCCACCTTAGAACAACAGCGAAACTCAAAACTGAACACAGCGTGGCACCAGCAGGCTGTGACTGCGCCAAAGCCCTCCAACAGATACTCAGTAAGGAGACACTAGCACCCACAGGCCAGCAGGGATGCGCATTAGAGCATATTAGCTAAAAGGACAAAGGTTGATACTCATTGGAACTAAAGGCAGAGAGGGATTTTCCTGAAATGTAATAATACAAATCTGATCTACTTTTAATATGATTTAACTTTATCTATTCACCCCGTGGCTGCTTGTGTGTATTGGATCGTTAACAGTTGGTGAGCAGGTGGAAAACAAAAAGGTTAGGTGACACAAGTGCACTGACTGGTGTACTGGGACTGGTGTTGCCCACTTAGAGGTCACAACGGGATCACAGTGTTCCACCTATCAAAAATATTGTGTCAGAATATCATTTTTTTCCATAATAGTGTCTATAACGTATTGTTTTGGTTACATTTTACACGCGGTTGAGTATAAAATTGAGATGATGGATGATTTTTTCAAAGAATGAGGTGGGCATCAAATAAAAATGTAACGATATTCAAAATAAACAAAATGCTGTCCATCAACAAAAACATGGACAGCATTTTGTTTATTTTAACACCTTATATATTATACAGGTTATAAAATCCAAATTTTATTTTTGCAGTTTGATTTCTATGTATAAATATAAACAACCATGTAAAAAGCAATAACTTTACATAAAGAGATTCTTAATGTATTATTACACAAAGATACACTCTACATAGGCATCAGGTATCACAGTGAATGGCAGATCCATGACTACAGAGTAAACTGATCTGCACTCTTCTTGTTATAATGGTGTTTCCTGCCCCCTTGTGGCTGCACACTGTGCACTCTCCTGTGAGGATGAGCCTCAGCCAGGTCAGCTGACAGTCTCTTGGCCATTCGGTCGGTGGTCCTCTTCATGCTGCGGGCCACCTCGATGGCCTGGTCTAGAGTCCTGTTCATTTCCGACTCCTAGAAAACAGTTCGCAAACTTTCCAATGAGCTAACCATGAAAACATTTCACAGCAACGACACACGTCTTGTATACAGGGAGGATCTTTTAAAATGTCAGAATAGTCAGCAGACACCCACGTGAAGAGATGAAACACATCTCACCTTGCTCCCTCTGCGTCTGCCTGTCCTGCTGCCAGTCTTTGAGGGCACTGATGCTGGAGACGGTGTCCGCTGGAAGTACACATTACTGGGCAGGAGAGCCGTGTCTGACTGGGTGGAGCGCTTTCTGTGATGGGACATGGACCGCAGAGGCGGCTCCCTCACTTTATAGCTGGATTTGAGGACAGATATTCCCACTTGAACAGAACTATGAAATCTAATAACACTGTGTGTGTCTGCTTTCAGTAAGTGGTGTGTTTGTGTCACGCGTTTACCTTGCAGGCAGGCTGCTGGAGGAGCCGTAGCTGACCTGGAGAAGAGGCTTCTGAAGAGATGGAGAGGTGAAGAGAGACCATCTCTCTTTGGAGTTAAAACTCTCCATGACAGCTGATGATCGGGGAAACATGAGAAGCACTACAGTGTGTATACCAACACAATACTGCACTTATTTACATCCCTAGATTTTGTTTTGACGTTACAAGGAAGGACATTTATGATGATGATGATGATGATGATGATGATGACAATTTTTTGTCTCTGCCCTTTATGAACACGGTTACTTTTGTGCTTTTCTAGTATGTGCTCTGAAACCAATTTGTCTATTATGGAAAAATAAAATTTAAATCATATTTATGTATATATATATTGGACAATGGTCTTTGTTTTCTTTTAAACACAATGACACCGACATGTTGACGTGATAAACATTAGATGATACAATCACTTACTTTGTGGTCTCTGCTTAGCGTGGCTGTCAGAAGCCTTTCCTCCTTTTAAAATGGAGTTGGTCAGACCAGATGTTTTCACTAAGTCATTTCCCTCTGACCCTGAAGGAGCATAACACACGATATTGGATATAACATCCCTGTATAAATGTTATATATAATAAGAAATTCAGAAACAAATGGGGTATGTACTGAACTGTACAAGCCAGCTGTGGCTCTGACCTCTGTTGGACTGCAGCGCCTCATGAAGTTTATATTGAAACTCCGGTGCAGAGCGCACACTGCCTCTCCTGCTCTCTACAGGTGAATGGTGGAACTGCAACATGATCTCAGAGCCAGCTGTGTCACCGCTGTCTGTACCTGAAGAGCGGATGATCAAAACCATAGCAGACGATGGAAGGAATATACGCACACAAACACACATGTACAGATGTTGAGACACACTTTGAGACATATAGTGTATTGCTGTAATTTGCTTGTTGGTGTTTTGTGGTGGAACCTTTGCTCTTGCTGGGGTCCATATCTGAAGAGATCCAGTCCTCTATCCTCACCTGACTGGAACTGAGATTGCTCACATTCTGTGTGCTACTCGATGGCTTCCACACACTAGACGTTAGAATAAAAAGAGTCAGAATAACGACTGTATAATGAATAAATGGTAAGAACATGACGGGACTACCTCGGACCTTCATCTGATATTGAGCATCTGTATATCTCATGGAAGCTTTTTACTGTATGTGCGGTTCTCTGGTTGTTATCCAACAATTAGTAAAGGTAAATATCAACCAAATGTTGCATCAATACACCCCAACAATGGCCATTATACCAGCCTGCAGGATCAGCTCCACACCTGTTGCAGTCTGATCTGTGGTGGGTCCGCGGTCTGGTTTTCGACTTGCGCTCCTGGCGATCCTGTCTGTATTTGGAGGTGAGATAGTCCATCTTCTGTGATAGGTGAGGCAGCTGGACCAAGCCCTCCTCCAGGTCCTTCTTCAGCCGGGATACCTCTGACTGCAAGGCCTGAATAGCCTCACTGAACACACATGAAAACACACACACACAGATGTACAGATGTTCACAGTGTAAATAGGCAGTGTCTGCAAGCGAGTGTGGCTTCTCCTGAGCTCTGGCAGCTGAGTCTCATCATCTAATCAACTGCTGCAGCTTAACAACCCTGGCTTTCCTCACAGTCTTGGCCCGATCGATACGTCTACTACTGTGGTAGCCATGTTCTCAAGCCTTAGAGGTGTTTTTTGAGTTTAAACTTTGTTTCCTTGTGCTCAGATGAATCTCTGCCTGGCTCTGGATTCTCAGTCTCCTGCCTACCTGCTTACTCTCTTACTGCCAATCAAACCACTGGATCGGCTCCAAGAACACTCAACCTCTGCCTAGCCTATCTGCCGTTATCTCCATTCTAAAAACCAAGTTTGCAATAAACCTTTTAACCTGCTTGCAGAGTCTGTGGGGTGCGTTTTGGGTTTCACTCAATACCGAACATAACATAAAGTTCTAATATTCAGCAGTTGCAGCGGTGAACCACCAACACTCCTCAGCAGCTCCTCAGCATACCTATTACATGAGCAGGAGTACAGTGGGCTGCCTCTCTCTTCTGTATCCATGGCAGTGCTGAGTACGGGTTCAGATATGTGGTGATGAAGGCGGGCAGGCAGGCTGCGTTCAGCTCCTGTGTGGTCAGTGGTTTGGAAGTGTTCATTATTGCAATAAGGACCAGATAAGATGAGACGAAAAGAGAACTTCATAATGCGGGCAGATTAGCTCACCCTGCAGCCTGACTGAAGGCTCCTTCGTGGTGCTCTCCACCCACCGCTCCACATCTGCTGCTGCACCAGGGGACTGTGTTCGGACAGACGGGTAGGGACTGGCCCATCGCTGGCTAGTGAGTGAGGCTGAATGGATGGCTGTCTGCAGGTTGGAGCAGGAGCCTTCACTGTCTGAGCTACTTAAACCATCATTCTGGGACGGCCCACTGTAGATGCGAGTATCAAACTTGAGTTATTGTCAAATTGATATGTAGATTGTGACTATGCATTAACAGGAGCTAATTTTATTAAATACTTATGTATGTTATTGTTGCTGTGTTTATAGCTTTGTACCTTTCTGTGAGCAGATTTGGTTGAAACGGTCCAGAGGCTGATTGATTCAAGTAGGAGCTCCCAAATCCACTGTCGGTCTCTGGACTCACAATCCTCTGCTCCCCAGAAGACCCAACAACAGTTAAAATATGGCAGTCTATGCATCCTCTATACCAGTGTAACCTAAACACCATCCAAGAAAACCTGTTGCACAACAAACATCAGACTAAAGTTGTCAAACAAACCAACTATCTGTGACTGACCTGTGACACAGATGAGGTGTTGAGAGGAGGCTCTAAGAGAATGTGGCTGTCTGAGTCTCTGGGTGCATCAGCTGACGACGAGACCTCCACAGCCAGACTTACACGATCCCCCAGATCACATTCCCCCACTGCGTTCAAGACACTATCAGGGGTGCTACGCCTGCAGCAACAAGAACAAGTGAGATATTTAGATATTTAGAGTCTGTGGAGTGGAGTTGGGGGGAGTTGGGGAAGGGTGAACAGTATGACAAGGAAAGCATTGCATGTAAAGCTAACTATTCTTTGGAGAGTGCTGTAGCTGTTCCCTATTTCTAGATTAACAATACAACAATACATGCTGTACAGTATGCAAACGTAGGTCATTTACTCTGTGACAAGACGGATTACTTTAATGAGTCATGCATTATTTCAGAACAAAGCAGTACAGAGAAACCACAAACAGAGTGTCATAGCTCTTTTATACTGTCAGGTAGAGTTTAATATCACATCACTGACCTGTCGCGTGTCCACTCCCTCTGTCTTGCGGATGAGCTGCCTCTGCTCAAGTACGCTAAGATGTTGCTGTGATCTATCACCTCTGACGAGACAGAGCTCCTCTCATCTTCAGCTTCAGTTGTCGGGATTTCCAGTCCTTCCAGAGAGCCCAGTGAGCTCCTGTAGCAGGACAGAGAAGAACACAGAGACACTCGGTGGAACCTAACACCAACGCCGCAGCTGAAACACTATCTGCCCATGGTAAGGCTGAGAGCGTGCCTATTATCTGAGCACAAACACACGTGCAAGCACCACTCAAAACATCAATAGGTAGACACAATAGTGACAGTGATACATGCACAACAGTGGTGTATTATTTCATCAAAGTGCCTGTTTGACTACATCATTCACGCTATTATAATATTGTTGGACTTTAAAATATTTTTTACAAGTACCTTGAATGCCAGCAGCTGTGTCCAGTATTTTTCAGCAAAGAGTCAGTTGTTATACGTTCACTGCGTTGCTGGAAACCCTCATCTCCATGGACTCCACGGGCCTCCTCGACTATCTCCTCTTTTTCTTCCTCTTTCTGTGTCTCCATCTTATAACCCACAGTGGAAAAACCTGCTCTTGGCTCCTGACACATGAGACCCATACAGATAATTTGCTGTTAGTGTAATCTTACACAGACACACGCTCAGCATTTCTTCCCGGAGAGAATTGATCACAATTGAATGTGCAGGTTGTGGATGCTACAAATGGGCTTCTACTCGTCAGCAGAGAGCAGGCTGCACACAGGCTGGAATATATACAACTAGAAAAGGCTGGATGCTGCAAAGCTGACCCTATGCTGGCTTTAAAAGTTAAATAATACCATTAATGTATGAAAGATGTGGAATATTTCAAGGTTTGTTGAAAAGCTGACAATACACTGAATTACTGGCTAAAGTTTGTAAGAAGAAGGTGAAGTAGTAGGAATAGTGGGAATAGTGGAAAAGTGGGAATGGTTGTAATCCGTATGAATGTCATAAAATAGTAATACCAATAATGTATTAAAGATGTGGAGTATTTTAATTTATTGTTGGAAAGCTGAGGATAGACTGCATTGCTCGCTGTTATATGATGAAGAAGGTGAGGTGGACTATTTTGAAAAGTGGGAAAGGGTTAAATTCTCAAGAATGTCATTAAAAATTGTATTACCAATCGCATTATTTCCTGTTAACATACAGTTACCTTCTGGGGCTTTGAATTTAAAAAAACTAGTTCCATTCCTAGTTTTCTGTCAACACACAGTGAGAGTTGGGGGCTTTATTTTGAAAAACAAGCCTCATCCTAAGCTTCCTGTTAAGATACAGTTCCTTTTTGGGACTTTTATTTTGAAGGTAAAACATTGTGGGAAAGGGAGCAGGTTAAAGATAATGTTTTGAGAAGATTTTAAAGCTCGCCTCCACTCTTACTGTTGGGTCCCCCACTCAAGCTCTGAACATTCCATGTAAAAAGGCGAGATAAGAAAAACAAAGATTTAGAGGAACGTAGGTTGTGAACGGTTCCAGCGTTCACAACCTATGAGGCAGCAAGTCTGTGTGTGAGTTGGTTACCTCATGCAAGCATGGTGGAGGTGAGGGTGTGGGCATGCAGAGAGGACTGGGCGTCATTAGCAGCATCTCTTTCATGGATGTGGGAGTGGAGGATGAATGGGGCGGAGAAATCTGCTCACACACATTTTTGTCTGTCATCTCCTTTATCTCCTCAAGGTGCATCCCTATCCTGAATATGTCTCCCTCCACCAGCCTGCGCACGGTTTAACATACACAAAACGCACACGCAAGAATGAAAGCATTGACATGATACTGACACGTTCACACTGGTGAAATGGCGGGCTCTCTTTAACCTGTTTGGGTCAAAGATGCCTGTTTTCCTGGACAGGCCCATGTAGTTTTGCATCTCCAGAGCTCTGTGCTGTTCCTTCTTACTGATGTACTCTCTTTGCAGCTGGTCCTGAGCCTCCATTATGCTCCTCAACATCTGACAATGGACGTATTTTACATTCGTGGACATGCAGAAGTGCACAATGTAAATTAGAATGCACCTCAAAAACACAAAATTGTGATGTCCTATATTTCCATATTCAGTGCATCTCTTAAAGAACTACAAATAGGAAATAAACAATACTTACCATTTGTTGTTCTGCTGTGCTCACTGACATGATGCTCACACTCAATTTAAATCCTTCCACCTGAATAGAAGAAGGTTCATACATGTTTTTGTGCATTTAAGGGTTGAATATTAATATCCCGGCACATCTTCAAACTTACCTTCTGCATGAACTGGCTGATGATGTCTTTCAGCTCTGCAGTCATTCTTTCACCATCGCTGGGACCCTCCTCAGGCTGCCTGATGGATGTTGTGTTCATCACCTGATTGTTGCTCTGGGGGGTTGTTTCTTGTTTCTTGCCAAAGTTTTCTGAAAACAAAGCAAGACTGGAGTAACACAAACCGAACATAGGCCATCAAACTATGAGAAATATGTCCTTGATGATGAGTGTTTGATGAACTTCCACATTTCCATCTCATTGAAGGAATTGGGAAAGATAATCAATAAAGGAATCAAAGAATTATTTTTTTTCTCTCCTGTCTCTTCCTCATCATTGCATTTTAAGAAAGTAAGCTAATATTGTATACTTTCAGTGTATACATGCAAAGAATTTGTTACTTTGTAAATTAATACAACTTACACATGATGCATAACAGTTACTGATGATCTTGTGATATAAAGACGCAGAAATCAATAGTGAAATATTTTCGTGTGGTTCGGTTGTTCAGTTTACAGGCATTGTTTTCCACTTAATTAACATTAAAGATGTCTGTCGAACTAGAATAGTTGTCACCTGACCCCATTTGTCTCTATGGAAACCAGTTGCACTTCACTGCGTAATTTGCAGGTAGCAAAGCAAAGCGTTGACCTGTCATAATATCAGATGTCGGACACAGAGACGCACCTGATGGGGAAGCCACGGATCCAAGATGGCTTCCCTCAGCTAAGTTACCCTGATGATGATCATCATACGCTAAATAAAGCATCGGTTCTGAGGAGGGTTGAGCCTGTGAAAGGAGAGCCATAAACTTGTAACTTGCATTTAAAACATGACTCTGAAATTAATCTGAGATTAAGTTAACTCTTTACTTACGTTGGTTGCTATTCTCATTTGATCTATAAGGTTCTCTGCTTCAGCATATTTGGTGAGTAATTTATCATATTCAGCCTCAGGAAGACATATGGAATGAGACAAATGTTAGTCCTGTCTACTATACGCAGCATTCATATATGTTATTGTTTGAGGACTGACAAGCAAAGGAAATCAAAAAGCTGTAGGTACAGGTGCACTGTAAACCCTGAATGTTTTCTACCTGCAGGTGATGCACCAGTGCTGGAGCAGACTCTTTGTCCTCGTTTTTGAACATGTAGGGCTTCACTGAAGGCTGGACGGAATCCTCCAGGACTCTGTTGATCACCTCTAACATCATTGGAGAGGACTGGGCTCTCTGCATGGTGGTGGGGCTCTGAGGAACAGGTCTGGCTGGTCCATTTGGAGGTTTGGGGATTTTTACCTTGGGGGCAATCTTGGAGAAGTCAGGGAGTGGGTAATGGACTTGGCCTTGACCATACTTCATGTCAATGAAGGACCTGGTGCGCACAAGTGGGACTCTCTGAACCCGTTCATCCTCTTCGGCCTTTTCCTGCTTCTCTACCTCTACAGCACTTGTATCCTCACTGCCCTGTTCTGAATGTAACCTTGCAGAGCTGGATACAATGCTGTCAGAAGCAGCAGAGGTGACTGGAGCAATTTCCCTTTCTGCTTCTTCCTCTGAACTTGATTTTTTTTCAGATGCACTTCTCTCATCAGTCCTGTCACAGCAGAAACGCTGATTAATCTCAGAATTACAAGCAGGGCTGTCTGAGTGGTTGCTATTAATTGTTGTGCTGTTGTGTGTTGGAGCCCAGCTAAAAACAGTGTCATCCACGCTCTCCAATAGGGACACCTCTGGCAGGGTCTCTGCCTCGATCGGCCTAAAAGGCCGCAGCAGCTCCTCCTGGGAGAAGTGTCGCAGCAATATCTGGTCAATGTCTGAAGGACAAGGCCATGATGGGGCAACCTCACTCGGCTTGGGAGCATCGAAAAGGTCGTCCCGTTTGGTGTTGGCATCATCTTGTGACAAAGTCGCTGGTTTCTCGGCGTAACGCTCAGCAGAAACCAAGCGTTCAACAATATGATCTCGATCTCTTGTCTTGCATTCAAGCATACCAGTAACATCAGGAATTGCATAAACCGTTTCGCTTCCATCAGAGCTCATATTGCCCTCAAGGTTCGCTGTTTGGTTGAAGTAGGGGCTTCCTAGGTCACCATCGAAAGGTAGGTCATCCTGATCCTCATCGCTAGTATCTTGCCCCGGGTCCTCGTGCTTTAAGGGCGGCTCATCTTGAACGGTGGTCGGTCTTTGGGCGGACACATGCAATATGCTGCTCTTGGTCTTGCTCTCTACCACATTCTCACTCTGACTGCTGATGACAATACTGGACTCTGACGAGGTGACGTCCAAGGCTGACAGCTCCGTGCTCCCTGCAAATTAAATACCAAATTAGAGGGCAGCATAGAATCATGCAAATCATGAAAAACTCATTTGGGTATCTGGAGTGCCTAACAACCTTCAAACTGTAATACAAGACAATAGTCCGTTTTTTGTGGGTTGCCTGGATCAGAAACACTTGAGTTAACAAGCCATTCAGATAGACTAATAGAAAACTAATTTATAATTTCAACATTCAAGCATGTTAACGAAAGCTCCAAAGAATACAATAGATTTCCCTCATCACTGTTACCGTTACCGACCAATTTAATTTCATAAACAAGACTACAATCCCCATGATCTGTTATGAATCTGTGAGAAGAACTGCATCCTATTCTTAAATTCAAACTGGCCATGTGTTATAGCACTACATAGAATTATTCAGTGTGATGTATAGTTCGGGTCAGATAAAACAAGCCAGTTCAACATGACGGTGACTTCTGGACTCACCACTGAGATGGATGCTTGCCTCGGAGGCAGCAGACTCTGCCTGCGACAGACGTAAGGCTAAAGAATTCTCCAAATCACTGAGGTGGAGACTTTCATCCTCACTTAGGTCGACAAAGATGCTCTGCTGAATGTACTTCTCCCACAGCACAGTGGGCTTGTCCTCTAGCTGTACATCCCCGTCTGATTCCTCCACTTCACCCTCCATGGACGCTTTGTCTTCACCTGTGGCAAGACAAGGGGTAAGAAAGCAGGATGGAGCACCTGTTCATCACTTAGCAACGCAACGTGTGAGCTGACAACATCGGATCAAAAACGTGCTGCACTGTCAATTATTTAACAATCAATGCATTGTGTGGTCAGAGGTTTGCGTGACACAAGTGTGTAAGGTCGTGTTTGTGCGGATGATGTATGTATGTATGTATGTATGTATGTATGTATATATGGGTGAAAGTGTGTCAAACAGTGGTGGAAAAGGTTTACTTTAAGAGTAACAATTACACAATATAAAATGATTCCATTACAATTAAAAGTCCTGCATTGTAAATCTTAAAGTGTTGTCAGCATCTATCAAAAGTAAAAGTTCTACTTTTAACACGGCCCCTGTCAGAGTTATATCAATACAAAAATATATATCATTTAAAAATGTAGATGTAGAGGGAGTTATTCGTGTTATGTTAGGTGGTTCAACTATGACACATTTTTAATATTCTGTTTGGTAATGCATTTGTTTTGTATGTAAAAAAAAACAATATGTAGCCTATAGTAATAATCTATGAATACAGTAACTACAGCTGTCAGATGTATGTAGTGAAGTAATGAGTACAATATGAATTATAGTGGAGTTTAAGTTTAAAGTATCAGAAAATAGGAATACTCAAGTAAGTGAAGTAAAGGTACCTTAAAACTGTATTAAAGTACAGTAGCCTACTTGTTAAATGTACTTAGTTGGGTCTTTCTATCACTGGTGAGAGTGGCATGCATTACAAGTAACATCTACTACACTGCAGAGGCTGACAGTCAAAACAGCTATTTCACATGTCAGTGTCTGTGCTGTTTTTGTATACTAAACTTTCAGTCTCATATTGTGACGCTGAGGCGGTAACTTACTGGAGTTGTGAACCGGTCCTCCTGCACTGCGACATTCGTGTTGAGATCATCCGTTCCACAGCCATTGCTCTTGATCCTGACATCATCGTGCATCTAGCTGCACCATCTCTGTGTCTTTCTCTCTTGACATATGGTTTCTGGGACAGGTTTAGTGTCTGTAGCATCATTAATAATGTAGCCTGCACGGCGGCGCTGAGCGTCTGGAGCCGGGCTGCCAGCGTACAGGCGGAGTCTAGTTGCTGGGTAACCTCCACCAAAACAACTACTGAAGAAACTAGTTTTTGTTAGCGAGCAAAATAAGTTTTGAACGACCAACCTCTGTATTTTAAGTATTTATTGAGAGACTTTCATAGGGTTTGAGTTAGGGGAGTGTTGCAACTTCACCTCACTTACCGACACACAGCGGCCAAGTAGTCATTTGTGCTGACTTTGCAAGCAAAACGGTGTTAAAATGTAACATAACGAAGTTTGCTTGTCTGGCACTGACAGCCAGATAATGAAACGTCATGTTTTTTCGAATCCATTGGTCCAATGACTGTCGTTCGGGGCGTGGCTACCTTTGAATGTCGTCTCCTGATTGGCTACTTGGCGAAAACACACAGGGGTAGTGCACATCCATACAATTTTGCTTCATTCTCATGGAAGTTAACTCGAACTTTTTCAAAAGGATAATGTAGCGTTTAGGTTGCATGTACAGTTTGTCCCTAAATTCCAGACGTCTGTGTGTGTGTTTGTAAACCGACCTTGTGTTTTTATTCTTGTGAGAAAGTAAACAGAAGAAGAGGAGAAGTCACCATTGTTCGAACTGGATCGTCTAACGTAAGTTTAGCTGCTAACATGCTAACTTGCTAGTCTTTATCTGGATGCGATACTGAAACCAGTGAGGGGTGAATGTATGCCTGACATTGTGGCTGGTGTTAAACTTCTTACCCGTCACGAACGTATGGTGTTCACAATGCTCTCTTTCTAGCTTCCTCACTGAAGAGTTATGCTAAAATCCTTAATATTTACATTCATATGAAATGTCAATAAGAACCACAAACACATGATGTAGTATTTAAACCGTCCTATATGAATATAGTTAAAATAGTTGACATCATGATTGGTTTAACTCATGGTTTAACTGTACTTGTCTTACATTGTTATGTCCACTTTCATGCACTAATTGATATGGTAATACACTGCTATAAAGTCATACACACACACACTCACATCACCCAGACCTTTATGGCATGTTTGTACACTCAGTTGTCTGTTTATTAGGTACACTTAGCTAAAAGTAAGTTGTTGTTAAAACAGAAAGGTGTGGATTCAAATGTCTGCTCATCTAGGAGGCTGTAGTTTGAGGTGCTGTTGAAATGAATCGTTATAGTGGGACGTGTTTCTCATATGTGGTCTTCCCTCATTGAGTTGTTTATTAGGTTTACCTGGTTTTTGAACCTAATAAACCGGCAGCTGAGTGTGTGTATATCACCCGGAGAACTAAATCACCAAGTATTCAGTTTACGTTTAATGTTATATACTATCTATATCATGGTGTCCATAATACTAAAATGTTCACACACTTTACCAAGTACCGCAACAGCAGCATATTTAGGTGTAAGTTTATTCATGGTCACAACACTTTTCCTTGCAGGCTTCCCAGATTTCCTGTTCCTGTGAGGAAGACTTACCGGTCAGTATCCCTGTACTTATGCAGTTTGTTTCTTTCTTTTTGTTTTCGTGCAGGCTTTTCGCTGGCTCATGCTGTAATGCATGAGTGGTGTTTCCATATTTAGATTTTGCTCTCAGTGGCAGCAGTAATTTTAGTGCATCAATGGGCCGTGAGCACAATGAAAATAGATCACATCTGCCATGTGTTTAAGGTGAAGTCATGTCCTATTTGTGACACGAGGAGTCAGTGATTACCTGCCGAGAAGCTGTCAATAAAAAAACAACCTTTTGTTTCCTTTGATGTTCCTTTTAGTCACGGATCACATCTTCCTGTTACACATTTGCTCGGGCTCACTGTAGCTTTGTGAGCAGGGCAGCTCTCTGTTAAACACACCCAGTTGGCATACAATGGTGGAAAAGGCTGCACCAGCACTGGCACACATCAATTGGTGATTATAATACTTTGCAGGGACATGTACTGCACAGACTCCCAAAGCCGTGGGCTTTAGCTTGTGTTATTCCTGTTCACGTTCACGTAGCGACAGGAAGTCTAGGCTGGGCACGGTGATGCTTTAATCCCCTTTTCTTTTTATGTTCAGGACGGGTTGATTAAAACACAAGAACTCCAAACAAATTGCAGGCCCCAAACTGTAAAATGTCTCCTCGATCTATAACATGCAATGCCATTCATGTGCCAGTGCCACGTGCTTTAACAGTCTCTGAAACGTTTTCAAATATACACACTGTTTGTTTGCCTTCCCTGTCATTTAGCATAGGGAATTGACCCAGTTTGCAAATTGCAAAGTGGTCTGCTCCCATTCTGTCTGTGTCAGGAGGGGCTGACGGGTTAAATCTGGGGGACAAATGGGTGTGGCTAATATGATCTCATGGAAAAATGAGGTAATGGTTGACCCTGGTCTTTACTTGGTGCATTCTATCTTATCCATGTAGCTTGCTTATCGCTGTCCTTTCCTTTGGTGGAAGTAGCATTACGCACAGCAGAGGTTCTTGTTTTGCTTCTCTCAGAGCTTCACTTCTAATTTAGTGAGCTTTTTCTTGATAAATTATGCAACAGGTTGCTGGTTTCTCTTTCTTTCCAGCGACTACCTCTTCTTTGCATTTGCACTTTTCCTGCCATGTCTGCTTGCATAAGTTGCATTATGTGGCGTCCATAGCTTGCTCGCCTTTAGAGCACAACGCGCACATCTTGAAGCCTGGATGAGTTGAGTCACCGTCTGTTGATTGACAGCTTGCCCGTGTTGACCCCTCCCCTCCCCTCCCATCCATTCACGCTCTCTCACTCTCCGCCTGCCCCGCTTGTGCTTGCTGCTGTTTGGGTGGGTGTTGCCATGGCACCGTGTGGCCAGAATGAGGCTTCACGTTCAGCATCCTTGTGTTGTCTTCACAGAGGGCCGCTGGTGAGATTGAGGTGCAGTGACGCGAAAACACACAAGTGCACGAACGCAGCCGTGTGGACTGCCGCTCAGGACTCTGCAGCTTCTGTCTAAACACTCGTGGGGTTACCTTCCCCTGTCAACATTCGGCAGACGGACGGTCACAGACTTTTGCCACATTTCGTGACTCCTCGTGTGGTTTACCTCCTCTTTTCCAACTCCCTTTAACCAAAGATTTTGTCTTCTTCTTGGCTCTTTTTTTTTTTTTTGGGAACGGAACTGGGATTTTCCCTCATATTATGCACATCAATGGATCCCAGTGGCTCAGTGGTTAGCACGGGGAATGAGGAGCAGTCCTTTCATATCCGCTACAGGTAGGAACACTTCCTCTCTCAGCTGAGGTATGGTGGTAGAGAACATTTAAACATTTTGCTCTCCCTACTTAGTTTTAGAAGGGGCTCTAAATTAATTAATTGTTGGTTAAGAGAAGACAAATCTCCTTATATTTGTAATTCTTTTAATGCTTGATGTGTCGGCGTCAGGTAATAAATTAGGTATTTATTTATGTGGTGTTTCCTTGTTGATGAAGTGATGGTGACGGTGGAATTGAAAATTGAGACCTTAGTTCAACTATAGAGCGTGAGGACTGTCTCGCGGTGCTTTTGTCAGTTTGTTAACTTAAAGGCAGGCGGGTTTCCCAAAAAGCCATCAGCCAGCTGTCCATACATACCTGGGGAAAGAGCTCCGGCAACAGGTGTGACTTGCTCCATTTGTCTTCAATATTTAACAAGCCCTGAAAAATTCATCACTGCTTGCTTTGTCCAACTTTATTTGGATAGAGGATATGTTTTACTGCTGTCGGGATGGTTGTTGTTAATGACTTGATTCCATTGAACTTCACTACAGAGGCTGCTTGTGCCTGACACGTCTCATAAATCTATTTAGCACCCAGCCCACGTAATCTGTCGGGTGCGGACTCTGCAGCTGTAATCTCAGGTGACCAGGTCAGGGGAGAGAGAGAGAGCTTTAAAGACGAGCAGATTAGCTAACAATATGCTGACGGTGCAGTTTCCTTGCTGCCATGCATTGGAAGTTAATATTTTGACACCATCACACGTGTCCCCTTGAAAAGTTTTCCAGTGCGTGATGCTATGATAGCAGATGGGTTTTGATGTCACAGGAAAGGAATGCTGCTGTTTTTACTTTTGTCTTCGACTTAAATCAGCAACAAATTTGATGTTTCTTTAGTGCAGACTTGTACATTGAGTTGAGTTTGCGTTCTCCATGCTTCAGACAAAGAGAAGGAGCTGCAGCCTGGAAGTTGTTGTTGTGGAAACCTTGGTAGATGCCTCTCAGCAGTTCCATGTGCTGCTGCTGTTGTTGTTGTTGTTGTAAGACACACAGAGCAAGCAGGTAGGCTACTGTTTGCCACTTTATTTACAGTACAGGAAAAGTATGTTGGCAACTTGGTTGTAGACAAAACCCCTTTTTTAATTTAAGGCCTAAGACTGCTGATTACATGAGCTTTACCGACTATTGTGTTTATAATGTTTGACTTTGTTCACCTATTCTAACCTATGACGAAACAAGCTCCTTTGTTTGGTGTTTTTGTGTCATTTTAACAGAACACCATAGACTTATTAAACTATAACTTCATGTAAGATATCCACACTAGAATGTGACTTTATGTAAGTGTTTCTGGGTCTGTTGTGAAGAGCTTTCAGACAAAACCTCGGGTGGGTACATGAGGAAAGCTTGACATAAACAAACTAAATAGACTTTGTGTGAAGCCGAGCTCTTCCCAACAATGCAGTTTCCTGAAAAACAAGTTTGCGGACTAACAATGTTTGCTTTGTAACTGCAAGGCTTGGTTAGTCAGTGATCTCAGAAAGCACTATTCTGATTGCATGTTGAACATTATATCCTACATTATGAAATTGATTTCCTACACGAGCTTTTGTGGATCTTTTAAGGCACAACTCAAAAGCTAAGGAACAGGGGAATGATAACCAACGGTACGCTTTAATATTTCTACCTGCTCTTGGCGTCATTTGACTGTAGAAGGAACCCACTTCACTTTCTGAGGCATGTCAAAGGGGATGTGAGATCTACCATAACAAACAGTTTGAACTATTGTTCTCCATAGGTGGAAGGAAGGAAGCAGCTCAAAGCCTTCTTTCTAAGCAAAGGCTGAACGCTTTGTTCCCTGGTTGCGAGCAGAGTCCAGTCAGTTGGCTGTATATTTCAGTCGGAGAAGATCTACCTCACCGCAAATTATTTATTATTGGGCTTTAAATACTGTCTGCTCAGTAAGAAGCCGGTTCAAGCAGCAGAGAACAGAGCAGATCGTTGTTTTTCGCCACCTGACAGACTGACTCTGCTTCGTTCCGCTGTAGGATGGAGGTGTCCTGTCTGGAGCTGGCGTTGGAGGGTGAGCGTCTCTGTAAGGTCGGCGACTACAGAGCGGGCGTCTCCTTCTTTGAAGCTGCCATCCAGGTGGGCACAGAGGACCTGCAGGTGCTCAGCGCCATCTACAGCCAGCTGGGCAATGCCTACTTCCACCTGCACGACTACGCTAAGTCCCTGGAGTTCCACCGGCATGACCTCACCCTGACCAGGTCGGAGCTGCACAAGAACCCCCGCAACCCCGCTAACTGATCATTACCATATTTATTGTTATTAACATAATGTGTAATTAATAGGACTGTTGGTGACCTGCTTGGAGAAGGCAAAGCCAGTGGGAACCTGGGCAACACATTAAAGGTGCTGGGGCGGTTTGACGAGGCTGTGGTGTGCTGTCAGAGGCACTTGGACATAGCCAGAGACATTAATGACAAGGTGAGGCAGCCCAGTAGTGATACTGTGGTGTATTAGGGGGGGGGGGGATCTACCTTCAGCTCTAACATGGTTGTCCTTGATGTGTGTTAGGTGGGTCAGGCGCGAGCTTTGTATAACTTTGGGAATGTGTACCACGCCAAAGGCAAAAGCATCTGTTGGAGTGGAGCTGAGCCCGGAGACTTCCCAGAGGAGGTCATGACGGCGCTGAGGAAGGCAGCCGAGTACTACGAGTAAGTGGCCGCACAGTGTGTGGCACTGCTGAATATGTGCAGGGGATATTTCTGCTAGTGTCCAATTATGTTGCTTTTGTGTTCTTTCAGGGCAAACCTGGCAATAGTGAAGGAGCTCGGGGATCGCGCTGCTCAGGGTCGAACCTTTGGCAACCTGGGCAACACGTACTACTTACTGGGAAACTTTCGCCAAGCGATAGCTTCTCACGAACAGGTTTGGTGTAACCCTAAAAGACCCTTTCATTATAGTGTCATAAAAGTCATAAGTGTAACACCGCTCTATTATTAAAGCATTATAACTGTTCCTCAGTCAAAACCTATTTCTGTAATGAGTTACAGTGAATCCTAAAATGTGTTTCTATGTCCCTTTCTTTCAACAGCGCTTGCTCATAGCCAAGGAGTTTGGCGACCGCTCAGCAGAGAGACGGGCTTACTGCAACCTGGGAAACGCCTTCATCTTTTTGGGGGAATTTGAAGTGGCAGCTGAGCATTACAAGTAAGCCACAGTCTGCTCACTGATAACCGAGCAAACACTGCACTTCATCGTTTCTCTCTTCCGCTACATATTAAGATATGTTGGGTGTGGTGTGACAAATCATCTCTGTTGAAAGACCACTTTTAAGAGTGTTACACCACAACGCATATATATAGCTTTAGTTTTACGGCTCTCTGCGGAAATAATGAGGGGATCTTCCCTTTGTGTATTACATGATATGTTTTTCCCAGACTTTGGGAACTGTGGGGACGTCTTCTGAGAAAGTGAGCCTGAGATGTAAGAAGCCAGAGGAAAATATTGCTTCCTCTCTGCTGTGTTTTGAACCAGCTTGTTTGCATGTTTGTCAGGAGGACGCTGCAGCTGGCGAGGCAGTTGAAGGATCGGGCTGTGGAGGCCCAGGCCTGCTACAGTCTGGGCAACACCTACACACTTCTGCAAGATTATGAGAGAGCCATAGACTACCACCTGAAACACCTCATCATAGCCCAGGACCTCAATGACAGGTACACACACACACACACACACACACACACACACTATGGGAAGAAGAATTCCCTACATTTAACCGCGACCCTATACATGTGTTTAAATGTGTCTTTTGATGCAGGATTGGGGAGGGCCGTGCATGCTGGAGTCTTGGCAATGCTTACACTGCACTGGGGAACCATGACCAAGCCATGCACTTTGCTGAGAAACACCTGGAGATCTGCAAAGAGGTACACAATACAAAAAAAGCATTCTTCTGTCCTTGCCTTCTCCTTTACAGTGGAAACTATTCTAAGCAGTTTTACTTTACAAAAACAGGAAAATAAATCCTTCAGTAACCTCTCTGTGTGTGTGTTTTTTTTTTTTTTTAAGACTGGAGACAGGAGCGGGGAGCTGACGGCACGTATGAATGTATCTGATCTCCAGATGGTTCTGGGTCTCAGTTACAGCACAAATAACTCCACTATGTCAGAGAATAAGGATATCGACTACAACCTGCATGGTCAGTTACAGGTTATACGTCTTCTTTAAACAGTGTAGTCTGTAAAGCTGGTGATTATATTGTTGTAATTGTTTGTGTGTTTTAGGAGCGAGGCCCAGGATGAGCAGAAGACGCAGCATGGAGAAGCTGGAGCTGATGAAACTGACTCCAGACAAGATAAACGTAAGAACTTCTCTCCTGTCACACAAAGTCCACGGTCCAATATCGTGGCTCCGCCCCTCATTTCGTTCTACATTGTGGTAACTGATCCATTCCCGTGCGCTGAAGGGTCAGAAGTGGAACAGTGACCTCCTGACCAAACAGCCCAAACCCTCCCTGGTTAAAAGCTCCTCCAAGCTCTTCTTTGTCAGCCGTCTGCGTGGGAAGAAGCACAAGGCCGGAGGCTCCAGCAAGGTTCTCCAGGACACCAGCAACACCCTGGACACCAGCCAGACGGCCGCACAGGGACCCCAGAAGGTACACAGTGCAGCGTGCATTCAGCTGATACACACACACACACACACACACACACACACACACACACACACACACACACACACACACACACACACCTCATTTCGTATCTTACAGCTATCATCAGACCAGGCCTGTTACGCCGTTTCTCATGTTGGGGTTTTTGTACTTCACCAGCGACTCAGTCCGGACATGCTTGGAGACGAGGGCTTCTTCGATCTACTGAGCCGTTTCCAGAGCAACCGTATGGATGACCAGCGCTGTTCAATACAGGATAAGGGCAGCAGGTTATCGCTAAGCAGCGGTTCAGAGTCGCCTCCCAGGGCCATCAGGAAATGTGAGTGCATGTGTTCATACACAAGTCATCCAATCCTCACAATGCGTCTTACTTTTCACACTGATATAAAACTTCTCCTGCTGTGTTCCTCCTCTGGCTCTTCATCGATTCTCTCTCTCTGTCTGTAGCTGCATCAGAGTCTGCCAACGTCTCTGGTGCCCAAGGCCGGCGGTTAGAGGATACTTCAGCAGCGGGGGGGAGCCTCCCCGGCCTCAGGCTCAACCAAAACAGCAACCGGGCCGTGCTCAGCCACCTGATGGCCAACGCAGACAACGCCGAGCCTGACGACGACTTCTTCAACATGCTCGTCAAGTGCCAGGTACCCGACATGACCAAATATATACGGCGCTACCGTCTCCTGTACGATGATAAGCATACAGTACGTTTAATACAAAAGAAGTTTTTCTAAACGGGAACATGAAATTCTCTTCCTTCCTCTTGACCACCAGGGGTCCCGCTTGGATGACCAGCGCTGCGCCCCTCCCCCTCCACCAGCGCGGGGGCCGACCGTACCAGACGAGGACTTCTTCAGCCTCATCATGCGCTCTCAGGCCAAACGGATGGACGAGCAGCGCGTCACCCTGCCGCCAGCAGCTCCAGCCAGGCCCGGCTCCAACTGAACAAAGCACTAAAAAAAAAAAAAAAAAAAAAAAAAAAGGGACAGCCGGGTTTTCTTTGTTTTCATCTCGTGGAGATGTGGATGGACAGCGAGAGGTGGTCACTCACAAGAAAGCCTTGTGTATCTTTACACGTGTCCTTTTGGACAAAACAAAGCACTGTCAGCATTATATGTAGTATACGGTATGAAAGAAATCTCAAATTAACTCAGCAGTATCAGGGACAAAAGTGTTTTTTATCCTTCTGTACTCATTTCACCCTGTGTGTATTTTTCAATACACCACTGCCGTTATGCCTGTATTTATTGTACTTTTTTTAATGATTGTTGTGATTTTGCCGTCTCACCACTATGAAGTAATGTGGTTTCACTCACAGTGGTGTCTGAGTCAGTGTGGGCACAGCGGTACAGCACTCTTTCCATTTATGTTGTTTATATGTGAGGGTGTGGGGGGGGGGTTATTAAGGTCAGGCTGGGGAAATGGTATTTTGAGCAAACTATTTGATAAAAGAATAAATTTAACCCGTGTGTGTACGGCCCTTATGCTCTTTGTACTAAATGTTTAGTCTTGCTTTGGCTTTTTAAAATGTTCGATGTGAACGAAACAGAAAAGATCCAGTTTGTGTAAAAGACACTTTATTGAACGTACCAGCAGTCAGACTCGAGTTAGCTTGAATTAATTTAAGTCACTTTTAAAAACAAGAATTAGAAAGGCTTAATACAAGAGCCACTAGCATTTCAAAAACATAGTAGCTGTACATACATAAACACAACTCGAATAAATACATCTATGTACGTATTAGTTTGGCCTTATTTGTTAAAACAATATATATACTATACATTAACATAAAATATGCATCTTTGTAAGTAAATCAATATTAGAAGAAAATGTTCAAAGAAAAAGTGCACATGTAAAATACAAGAAAAGAACACAATGCATATGCCCCAAATACTGGTTCTAAATAAATATGGAAACACCCGTTGCGTCCATTCAGATTTCTTTGTGCGTATTGGTTAGACCCTCGCTGCGGGCAAAGACTGCCACCTACCGTTGTCATCGTGTTACAGCAGGAGACAAACCAAAGCTTGTGAACACTGAAGACTCCTCACCCGAATGCAAGGGCACTCGAGCACAAATTACACTTTGCGTTTCCCTTTGACGCCGACATAATAACAACCTTCCATTGCAAGCAAGCCACCGCGAGACACTGTAACAGCTTCAGCGCAAAAAAGACACGGAATTCAAATTCAAAACAACTGCACGAGCTAATTTACACTTTTTTGAGTTGTAGCAATGCAGTGGATACTGTTAAACATTAGACATCAGCACATCCCACGGGGAAGCAACAGCTGGTAATAGGGCTTCTACAGAATCAGCCTCCTGATAGGAAAAGCCCACTACTGACTGACACACTGAGAAAAAATGACATTTCACGCTATAAATTAAACTTGTTTTCCCCAAAACGATAGCAGCATAACACCAGCTGTAAGACAATGACACGCAAAAGCCGAAGGAATGTAGGACTTCTCAAGATGACTTAACAAAATTTGATCTTGAAAAATGACCATATTATCTAGTTTGTTTGGTTTGCTTTTACATTTTTCGTATGGAAACTGAGAACTCAAGGAAGGCACCATCATGAACAAAGCACTCTGTCCTGTCTAATCTCAACAACTCCTCAGTGAAAAGGACGTGCAGCAACTGTATAACGAGTGGAGGTGAAGTGATGGTGAGGAAAGAAAAGGAAAGATCCTGCCGTTTAACCCCTCGAGGTGACGATGTGAAATGTGAGTGACGTAAAGAAAGAAAGAGGGAGAACATGCAGCATGTGTGCTTCTGATGTGTCACAGGTTAGTATCCATTTTGGTTCCCTACAGACAGAAGTGAAAGGCCCATTCACCCGTTTGTGTGTTGATCTATGTGTGTGCTTTTCAAGCTGTAAGTGTCAAGTGTGTGGAAAGAGTGCGACGGTGTTGATGGTGCAGGAGGAGGGTTTAGGGGGAATGTGTGTGTTTTAGATTATAACTGGTTGTCTGTGCGTGTGTGTGTGTCTTCGTGTGTGTTATGGGTTGTGCGTCCAGAGTGTGACAGTGCGGTCAGCGGAGGACGAGAGGAAGGATAGGTCTTGTGTGTGCCATCGACATTGAATCACCTTGTCGCCGTGCTCTCCCACCACGGTCTGAGGCAGCGGCTTGGTCAGGTCACCTAGCAACAGAAACAGGAAATGGAGCTCAGACGGGCGGATTTAAAATCATGACGCAGAAATGATTCGGTTAAAAGCAGTTTTTCCCTGTAAGAGGTTAAGTAGTATTAAAGTATTAAAACCCTGTACAAGTATTATGATCACTTTGTTTTTGTTGTTGGGGAACAAATACTCTTAATAGAGTCTCCCTTTCTTCATAGAAAGTACAGAATATTTACTTAAAACGGCAACAATGTCAAACTCCAAAATGTGATGAAACCTCGGGGATCTCGATACAGTGTAACTACACATCAAGCAGGTTGGTGCACCTAATAACAAGCAACTGAATGTACAGTGCAGGGAGATAACTTCATGTGCCAATCCACTGTAGCTGCCTGCTTATTCATATCTCTTGCAGACAACTGGGTGAGAAGATTGATATCATTCTCACGTCTTTACAGTAAATATGTGGCTGCAGCTTAGTATAGACTGGGGGACAGTTAGCCTGGCTCCGTCCTCAGAGCTCACTAATTAACATTAATATATCTCATTAGAATGAAAGCAGTCCTCGATGTATCCTTACTCCCTCATCACTATGTGAGCAGAGGAGACGCACCTTGGAGGTTGCTGACGATGACCTTTTTGTCGTAGGAGCCAGTGAGCAGGTAATGTGCTCCGGGGGAGAACCGGATGGATCGCACGTCGCTGGAGTGCGGCCGGTACACCTGGACGGTTCGTCCTCCTCTGATGTCATACAGCATGCACGCGCTGTCTTCCTGTCCTGTTGCTAGGAGACGGCCACTAGGATCGACTGCTACCGTGGCAACAGGACTGCCTGCACAATAAAATAAAAAAGATTTAAAAAAGGGGGTGTAGCTGTAAAAAAAACAAGATATGAACCAGTAGAAGTGTCTCATATTGTGAAAGCAGAGTTCCTTCTAGTGTCAAACTCATCACACACACACGTGATACCTGAGCCATGGAAAGCAGCTCCCACTACTCGGACACAGCTGGGCACCCTGATGTCCCAGAAACGCACCGTCTTGTCTTGAGAGCCGGAGGCAATCATCCAGCCCCCCCACGTATACAGAGACAGGATGTGACCTAAACAGCAACACATACTTGTCAGTGGCAATCTATAGCTCTCCTTCATCTCCACGTCCTGTTTTGGACCTCCATGGAGTTTTGGATGGATGAGACAGTCACAGTGTACCCGTGTGTCCGCTGAGGGCGTGCAGACCCTGTCCTCTCTGACAATCGGTGGTGTAGATGTTACAGTCTCCAGCTCCGGCGCTGATCAGGATGGCCCCTCCGCTTTCTGGACCCTCCATGAAGGCCAGGTCTCTGATGGTGCCGTCATGCATGCTGAACTCCAAGTCGGGGCCTAGGGGCGCAGAGAGAGAGAGAGACACACACACAAGCGAAAATGAGGATAACAGAAGCCATGCTCCAGTTTAAAATCACGGGAGTGTTCCACTGTCTGTACCTGTGGCGTTGCATGTCTCTGCACTGAAAGGTAGGACTTTGACATATTTGTCATTGGAGCCGGTAGCCAGCAGCTGCCCACAGTGGCTCCAGGCCGCGCAGTAGATGGACCCTTTGTGGTGTTTGTTCCTCTTGAAGCGGACCACGGGCTGCTTTATTGGACTTGAACCACTGAGGAGAGGAAGAGTGAAGAAGAAGAAAAGATGAGTAAACTGGTTAACATTCACACAATGTGCTACTATATACTGGTGATTTTCAGGATTGAGAAAACCATTATGACTTTTCCTGAGAGTCTAAAGAGCTTGTAAAGTAAAAATGTTCCAGTTAGTCTTCCTTATCAGGTGACCATTAAAAGCCCTTAAAATCAGTATCATCTACATTCTACAATGCTTTGCATGTAGGGTACCCTGGATCACAAAATCACATCATGGTAACTTTGGTTGGAATCCTAAAAGAGTGGGATGCATCATCACATCAATCATTTCTATAATTCTTTAATTGGCCTTACCTCGTGTCTAATGTTTCTGGATAAGCACAGACACGTAGAGTTTTGGAGTTGGATCCAACAGCGTAGAGCGATCCAGACGGGTGAAAGGCGACGGCTCGAATGGCTTGAGTATCTTCTAAAGTGTGCACTGCCACAAACAGGCTTTTAGGCTTGTCGCTCTGAAAACACACGAACACACAGATTACGTGTAATTAGCGGCCTGATCTATTTTGATCTCCTCTACCCTACGACATCCACAATGTTACGATGCTGGCCTGAGATCGTGATATAATCATGTTATAATCTGCGTAGTCAAATGCCAAATGAGCATGACACCGTATCGTCTTGTTCTGTGACACAAACAAGAGGGAACGTGCTCAACTTTAAAATAGAAGCAATTGTTCTGTGGCAGCAATAACCGCTAACGTGAGAGAAAATGAGTGTGTGATTCATTTCAGGCTCATTATTCAGCGCAGACGATGACATGCTTGTTGAGTAATAAATTATTTAGAGCAGGTCTGACAGAACTGTTTGAGTGTTACTCGTGTGCATACATACCTCTTTACTTCGGGATAAGGAGCCTGGAGAGTCACATGGTTGACTTCCTTTCTGTTTCTGCTCACTGCGAAAAATATAAATACAGCAATCATCAAATTCAACCCTGCAACAAACTCCGGTATAAGAAACCCAAAAGGAATCAAACCCACAGTACCTCTGGGAGACGACAGGGGACTCATTTGGAGGCTGAACCGGGCGCTCCCCCACGGTGCGTTGCGGGGTGCTGCTGAGCACCCCTCCCCCTCGGGTCTGCTCCGGTGTCACAGATGGAGGGTTGTTATTGTCCTCAGAGGTGGGCGTGTTCCCGTTGCCGTTACACTGCTGGGCCAGAGACTTCACCTCCTCGCCTAGATCCTCCATCCCCACATTGAGCTCCTCCAGCTTCTGGATGGACCTGAGGAGACCAACACACAGGCACACACACATTCATGAGCTCCACAAAGTCTTTCAGCCTGTCCCCCCCTCCGTCATGTTATCCGAGTTATCTTGTGCTTACCGTTTGGAAAAGGAGAAAGGTTTTTCACCTTTCACATAACAGGCTGTCAGTACGCTGACTGAGTTGACTCAGTTAAATCTAGTTTACGATACAAAGGGGCAGAGGACAAAAGAAAACTGGAGTAATGGTGTAATTATGCACAGCTTCCCTTGTGAATAATGCAGAGGGTACAGAGATGGGGAGAGGTTGGGGAAAGGGAGGACAGGAGGAACTCTCAGGGGACAAATGAAAGGGCCCTTGTCCTGCTGACAGAGCAAAAATTAACACATTTCCAATCGTCATTTTTTGTCACAGATTCATAGCTAAATATACTCTTGTGGGGGTTTTTGGAAGCATGCTTAGGTTGCCATGGTACATGTTCAAGAGTGGAGTCTGGGTCTCATATTGTGTATAACTAACGCACATGGTGCGATAGTCCCCCGTGATGTGATGTCGCTCATCCCCACAGATGGTGCAATGTGGACAGGAGGCGGGTTTCTTTGGGGGGGTGTCATGCTAGGAAAAAAGCCACATGGGGCTTTTTGTTGTCAGGGCCTTAACACTTCTACTTCTCCTTGTCCGACAGCTGCTCCTCTATTGTATGAAGTTATTAAAAGCGATACGGTGTTTAGCAAGTGAATTCAGACAAGCTGCACCAGAATGGCAAACTGCTTTCAGGAAGTTTGCCCTCTGACTTGACAGGTGTCTCTCTGCGTTATGGACGCACACCACCTGCCTGACAGGCATCTCTCTCGCCGTGTCTGTACCTGTTGAGGAACTTCTCTGTGAGGCTGTGCTGCATGTCGCTGGGCGGGGGGGGCTCCTGCTGGACCCCTCCTTCCAGCAGCATCTGCTGGTACAGTTGCCTCTGCTGCTGCTTCTGCTCCAGGTGCTGCTGCACACGGAGGCGTTGCCGATAGTACTCCTCGTACTTCTCTGTTGAGTCACGAAGCTGAGGATTGAACATGATGTCATTAAACCCTGTTGTTTGGTTATATCAATTTATGCATTGAATCTGTTGTTGGGCAATTCACTCTAGAGAGCAGATAAAGTCACTCTGGAGAAGAAAAAACTGAAATGGAAAATATGAACACAGGTATGTACAAATGAACAAGGATACGTGGAAACAATTTAGCGCATACAAAGCATTCTATTCACACACCCATACCACACAGTGAAGCATGTTAACTTCTGAAGAAAGTCACTGCCAACTCCTATTAACACTAATCAAAGGCAGCATTGTGGCCAGATGAGCCCTGCTCCGCCCACTTCTGCTGTCAGTCCAGGTATTAGAGGAGGAAGGAGGACGAGACTGAGAGCTGAGGACAGGACACTTCCCCTCTCTGTCCTCTGCTTCCTGTCCTGACAATCTGATGGGAACTGTTGGTTCGTGGGAGGGGAGAGACACTGGCACTGTGCCCACTCTCGAAAAAAGGGACGGAGGGCAGAGAGGAGAACAAAGAAAGAGAGGGTAGGAGGAGTGCGACTACGAGATCACAGAGCCCCCCCCAAGTGTGCTTCTGGCCTCTATGTGTCTCTAGGGTGACGGGGAAGGCAGTACAAAGCACTAACACGTCACACTGAGCTGCACAACGGGACCAGAATAGAGAGCATGAGACACACAGAAGGGGATACTATGTTTTGAGGCAACATGAGGGCTGTAATGACTCTTTCTTTGGTAAAGCTCCTAGGTTCCTGAGCCACATGTCCCTACTGACCTAGAACCAGATCAACCTGGGCGTCTTATTCTCAGGAGATCTGGAGTCATAAGGAGATTTCTTTTAAGATGTGTAAGGGGCTTTATGGACTCCTGTTATTTGTTTTGGACTTTTTGAAAGTGTAAGTCACACTGAATTTTAAAAATATGTGTATCATGTCTGTGTGTTCAAATCTGGGTTGTGACGAAAGGAGTATGAATTGTGAAGAACTACAACAGACTACAATAACTAACATCCATGTGTCTGTACACAGACATTCAAATATGTATATATATATATATATATATATATATAGACCTTCAGTGAAGGCAACACCCACCAAGGACAGAAAACAATGCAGGCAGATATGAAACGCACAACAGGTCGAACGGGTTAAAAAGCAAAGCCAATGTTTACCTCATTCCTGTCTCCGGAGCCAGGTGACGGAGCGTCCTCGCCCGGAGCTGGGGCAGGACGCAGGTTCTGAGCTCCACCCGAACTCATCATCTTATCCACAGGCGTGTCTGTCCTAGACCTTCACAGAGAAAACCCAAAACAGGAACAGATTATCTCAGACATCTGACAAAGGTGTTGCGTAAAACCAGACACAGGAAAAAAAACTTGGTCCCGTCCAAACTCTTACGTTTCAGGGGATTCCTCAAAGATGCTGTGGCAGTCAGAGCTCTCCATCATGAGGCTCCTGCTCAGGCTCTGTCCTCCTGCTCCGGGGTAGTGAAAGTTGGCGAAGGAGTGGGACATGGGAGAGACCCCTTTGCCTGGCGCTATCTCCCCGCCACCCGCTCTCTTGTCTTGGCCAGACAGGCCGAACGACAGCCCGTCCAGCGCCGGGTTCAAGGAGCGCGACATGTAGGTATCAGCGGACTGGGGGCGGCGCAGCGGGGAGGACGGGTACGGAGACAGTTTGCTGATGAGCGGGGTGAGGAGGTCGGAGTAGCCGGTCTTTGTGGGCTTGACCAAGCGGTCCACGTGGATGTTGAGTTGCTTCTGCTCGAAGGCGCAGGAGAAGACGGTGTGGGAGAGGTTCTGCATCCAGGAGAGTAGAGACAGGTCCAGGTCGTCGCAGCCGTTACCGCAGAGCATGTCAACACCCAGAAGGACCTCGCCCTCTGGGATCTCCTCACCGGTCGCCTTGCTCTGCACACAAAATAAAACCCAACAAATGTAAATGAATCTGGAAACTGGTATTTCTGTTAGGATTTTAGTGTGTCCGAACCTGGCAGTACTCCACACAGCACTCGTAGAGGACTCCCTTAAGGAGCAGCTGGAAGAGTCGATCCCTGCTGGCCTTGAATCCAGCCTCGCTCAGCTTCCTGTCTGCAGGGATGAAGTCCGCTACCATGTTGCAGGCCTCATCAAAACACTGCACCCTGGCCGTGCTCGGGTTCCACTCCTGCAGGACACCAGCAGGGAAATAAGAAGTCAACATCCATGCATTTCATACTGCTGAAATGTTTGTTTGGATCATCATTCATGTATCTTGCCTTGAACTCAGCGTGGTGTGTGAGGCGAGGCAGTGTGAGGAGCAGACACAGTTTGCTGTAGTCATCTTTGGTGGGACAGAACTCCTCCAGGGCGTGGAGACACTTGACTGCTTCCTGCATGGTGAACTCCAACTAAAAAGAAAAACATGAAATTGTTACAGTTAACTGATTAGAAGTTTCTCTCTCAACAGCAGCTTTATCTCCAGCAGCACACCGGAGAATGTTACGAGGCTGAGGAAACAAAACAAGAGACCAGCTTCAAGGATATCGCGTACAAGACGCCACAAAGGGATGATTTTTGACTTGCACCACCCGGAAAAGTCATTGCCAACACACAATCGACATCACAACAACTAATACACACCCCTCTGCACACTAATACAGATGTCCAAAGACGTCTAACCTAATCCAGTTAATAGGCCAGAGTGTCACAAGCTGCAGCTCTGCCATGCCACGTGACAATAGGCCCACAGAGTAAGAGGAGAAAAGAAAGAATGAGTTCTGAATATAAAGAGTCTCAGCATGTGTGGAAAAAGCACATTAGCTTCCATTGCTTACTATTATTGTTGCTATTGGGGCACCCATCCGTCCCCCTGTGAGAAATGCAATGTAGAGCTCAGACAAAAAGGAAGGGGGCAGCAGAAGGCCGCACTTTCTTTTGCCTTTTCGACCAAATCATCTGTGGGTGGGTGGTACATCACAGGTGAACAGACATATTATGTAAAACGGCTTGTTAACATGGACAGTCGATTGCGCAGTATCAGAGGTGCACATAAACAGCTTAATCCAGATAAGTCCTTGACTGCACTGAGGCCCATGGCCACAACGCTCCTTGCATGCAAATGCAGCCGCTGTTGATGCGCACGCGCGCGCGCGCACACACACACACACACACACACACACACACACACACACACACACAC